AGTCCCCCATCTCAGCGCCATAAGTTGAAGCCCTCAAACCGAAATGGGCCACCCCTGTACCCCTGGCCTCAGTCCCTGGCTATGCCTTTGGCTCTGGCAGTCCCCTCAGCACTACAATCCCAGCCTATGTGGCAGACCTTTTCAAAGCTGCAACTGGGACAGCGTAGCCACATGCGTCGTAGTGAGAGCACCTACAGTGTAAATAGTACTGGCCAGCGGGGTCGAGGCAAAACCCCACTGGGACGGGGATGTGATCCAGGTGGAGGGACCCTACGACCTGCAGCCTCCTTGCCTCACATTGCCAAGACTCGAAAGGACATAGGCAATGGGAGCAGCAAGAGCCCCTGCATGTTAGTGGCCCTGCGGCCAACCAACATGGACCAGGAACGGGAGAAGTTCTTCCAGTCCCATTACACCTACAATCCACAGTTCGAGTATCAGGAACCAATGCCAATGAGTGTGCTGGAGAAGTACCAGGAGGCCTCTGGACAGTTCATCCGTCAGGTCAGTTCAGCCTGCCCATTTCACCCCGGCCCTGACTACCCAGGGACCTAGCCTGACTAGTGACTGTGGCCCTGTGTACAGGCAGTTGGCATCATTGAGGCTGTCCTGGAGAAGTTTGGCACTTATGAACACTTTGAGGCTGCCACAGGGGGCCAACTGCTGACCAAATGCCAAATTTGGTCCATTGTACGCAAATACATGCAGAAGGAGGGCTGTGTTGGGGAGGTAAGTTTGCCCTATTTACAGGACCCTCTTTTATATGCCCCAAATCAGGCTACCTAGCTGATAGGCCTAGCCACACACCTGACCAGCTGCAATCCCCAGACATGTCCCTGCTCCAGCCCCAGTTAAGGAACAACTGGATTTGAAGGGTGGGTGTCCTGGCCAGTGTGTAGCCTGGTGTCTGCCCCCTAGCTTTCAGGGCTTGTAAACCATGGCTCAGAGTCCTGCCACCCTGCAGGTTGTGGTGCAGCTGAGTGAGAACCTGCTGTCCCAGGCAGTGATGATGGTGGAGAACAGCCGACCCACATTGGCCATCAACTTGACTGGAGCCCGCCAGTATTGGTTGGAGGGCATGCTGCGGCATGAGATAGGTAAGTCTGTGGGTGGCATTCGTGCGTGCCAGTGGCTAGCACTGGAAGGTATTAGGAGATGGGGGCGGGGCAGTGTGGGGCTTCAGTAATCTCCTCCTTTCTTCCCTTTCTTTCCCTCTGGGAGAAAACAGGCTTGTTGATCCCTAAGCAGATACTTCTTCCTTATTCATAGAATTAGGGCAGGCATGCCTGCCCACCCTCCGAGCTGACCTTCATTGGGTATTTCCCCAATTCCTCTCTGATTTCCTTTGACAGGAAGGGAAGACTTCCGAGGTCCTAACAGGCCAGAAAGAATTCTGAGGGTTCCACCAGACTAGTTAACATACAGGCCCATCAGGGTGGGTAGCAGGCCAGATCCTAGGAATGGAATTACTTGAAGACACATGAATAAAAATTGAGATTAGGCTAGGAAGGCGAGCACAGGACACTCACTAGTCACTGTCCTCACCAGATGTGAATGTTGTTGCTCTGGGCAAGAAGTGATTTTGACTGGGACATTTGCATGACTGCCAAGATGGTTGGCATGGGCACTAGGGTGTTGGGGCAGGGTGGTATGCGCTTGGTCTCTAGCAGGGCGGGGGCACAGTATGTGTTGGTGTGCAGGAGATGAGAAAACAGGCAGAGAGGAATCTGTCTTGGACCAAGACTCTTCTTGCTGCTAAAATTGAGTGAGAATGAGTTTGTGTGAGGTGAATTTGGGTCCATCAAGATCTAAGAGTCTCTACTAGAGGTCCTTGGAGAGAGTTCAGCCTCCTCTTCATCCTCTCTGCAGGCACCCACTACCTTCGTGGTGTGAACAATGCACGACAACCGTGGCACAGCACTGAAGGCCGATTGCAGTATAGGCTTAAGCCAGCCAACCCCACTGAGGAGGGCCTGGCCAGTCTACATAGCGTGCTGTTTCGAAAGCAACCGTTCCTGTGGCGCGCAGCCCTGCTCTACTATACCATTCACCAGGCTGCGCACATGTCCTTCCGCCAGCTCTTCCAGGATCTGGCGCAATATGTGCAGGATGAGGCTGTACGCTGGGAGTACTGTGTCCGTGCAAAGAGAGGACAGACAGACACCTCCCAGCCAGGTGGGAGCTGCAGAGTTGGGGGAATGCCCAAGCTGGTGCAAAGTGAAGGGTGGCTTTTGAGTGAGGACTTACTGATTCTCACTCTCATAGGTTGCTTCAGCAAAGACCAGGTGTACCTGGATGGCATTGTGCGTATCCTGCGGCACCGTCAGACCATCGATTTCCCGCTGCTGGCCTCGCTGGGTAAGGTAAGGGGCAGCAGGTCTACAGAGGCCCCAGCCAGCTTCTTTTTTATCCCTGTACCTCTGAGTCATGTTTGATAAGAGGCCTGGTTTCCAGGCCTCTCTGGTGGTAAGAACTTGGGTGGGGTGGAGGTAAGCAGACAAGAAGAAACAGAATTTTGGTATCCCAGATGAGGTGTATGACCCAGCCTGCAGATGTGTGCATACATTTCAAAGGAGGTGAGTGTTCCAGAATAAAGGAGCAGTCAGGCATTTCTGGGGAAGGAAGCTGGAGAAATGGCCATGGACCAAAGCCCAAGTCCTGAGTATCTGTACCAGGTCGAGGAAAGTAAACCTTATCAGAAGCAAAGGGGAGTTGGAGGCCCTATAAAAAAAGGTGTGGCACACTCTTGCTTTAGGAGCTCTTACTGGATGTTATGTGGGAGGTGCACTGGAAAGAAAGGCCTAGTTGGCAAGGGGAGGGGGCTTTCCATTGCTCCTACAGAATTGATAATGGTTTGACCTAACCAGGCATAGCATGGTTGCGAAGGGATAAACTACAGATAGTGGAACTCTTCGTCTGTTTGAATGGGAAGATGAGAACCCAGCTTCCCTTTCTTGGACGTGACTGTGGTGACTGTGAAGAGGTGGGACTGGCAGCCGACATTCAACAGTCTTGTGTTGGATGTGGGAGATACCTGAGAGATACCCAGGTATCAGCTGAATACTGTTTAGACATGAGGGGATAAGGTAGCTGGGCTGGAGGGGAATCGGTTGTAGAACACAGATGGAAGATGTAGAGAGAAAGAGCTGATCCTGAAGGAGGAAATGGCCCTGAGCCATCAGTAGATCTGGGACTAGCTGCTTGAAAACCAAGGTCTATGATTAGCCCTGAAGCTTTGTTTTCTCCCTATAGGTCTCCTATGAAGATGTGGACCAGCTGAGGCCCCATGGAATACTAGAGAATACCCGAGTGCCCCACTTTATGAAGGACTTGGGACGCTACCGGCAGCAGCTGGAACACATCATGGCTACCAACCGGCTGGATGAAGCCGAGCTGAGCCGCCTGCTGCCCGACTGATGTTGGTTAAGGGTTATAGACAGAAGCTCTTGACAGAGGTCTCAGATCAGAATATGAAGCTCTTTATGGTTCCATAGCCTAGGTGTTTCTTGGGGGTACTGGGAGGCCAGGAGCATCTTGGGAAGATAAGAGGCAACGTCAAAAGGTTTTTGTCCTTGCTAGTCTTCCTAGGGCCTGTGAACTAACAGCAGCATGCCATGTAAACTCCTGAACAGGGGAGACCAGGGGATAGGAGGGGAACTGAGTGTGGGTAGGAATGTGGGTTGGTTTGGGAATAGAAACTTATTCCTGCATGAAATGGCTTTGGGTGTCTGGTACCAGTCTTTCCCTTCCCCCACCTGAACTACTGGTGCTTTTCAGCATTCAGACTGTCTACCTCTTACTGGGTCAGTGGGAGTTGGGATCCCCTCTGAGGTGACGTGCCTGAGCATAGGTGTCTCTCTCATTGGTTTTATATTATTCCATATTTGCCTCCATGCATTATTCATATCTCCAGCTTAGACTGGGAGGCAGCAGCTCCTAAAAGTTCAGTGGAGACACAGGATACTTTTGGAAAGGTACCATTTGTTCTTAGTCTCCCTCTTTTTCTTTTTTAAATTTTTTGTTTTGTTTGCTTTTCCAGATAGGGTTTTTCTGTAGCTTTGGAGGCTGCCCTAGAACTCACTCTGTAGATCAGGCTGGCCTTGAACTCACAGAGATGCCTCTGCCTCCGCCTCCTGAGTGCTGGGATTAAAGGTGTGCACCGCCGCCACCACCACCACGGGCCCTAGTTCCTCTCTTATCACACACTGGACTTCAGGTCTTGCGAGTCCAGCACCTGGCTCTACCCTCAGTCCCTCAGTCCCCACACTAGTCTTGGTTGTGCCTGTCTTTGACCACACCCTCACAGCTGGTCTCTGGCAGTGGTTGGTACAGGCTGAGAGTAACCACAATCAAACCTGCAGGTCAGGCCTATAGGATTTGTTACCTTAAGTGCTGAGTCTGTCTGAGACCAGAAGTACAGAGCTGGTTAATGCTTTCATTTTCACTTCAGATTCAGCTGTGAAAGACTGAGCCAGTACTGTCCCTACCTTGGCCTTTTATTCCTCATCTGTGAAGCCTGGAAACACAGCTGGGAAATTCTTATTCATTATCTTAATAGATATGTACAGAACTCGTTGTGTATGTATGTCTGTGACTAGTTAGAACCTCACTGAACTTCCAGTTGAGAGGAAAGCCAGATAATTAAAGAGCAATTACACTGATGTGTGTGGCCTCTGTCTACTCAAGCTCCCTCTTGAGTCTCCCCTTCAAGACTGGGAGCTCCAAGACTTCCCTCATCAAGTGGGGCGATGCAGGTCCCCCCTTCTCTTGCTCAGGATACGTAGCCTAGTGACTTCCTACTAGGCTCCCAACTGGCTCCTGAAGGGAAGAGCAGTGAGTGGGGTAGGGGTCAGATATCATTAGGGGCCTGAGACCTCCAGAAATATAGTTTGGGCTATTTTGGGGATGGAATGCAGTTGCCAGGGTGGGATGTTTCACACAGCCTGCTCAGATCAGTGGTATCCAAACTCACACCTGCCCTCAGTTCCTGAGCAAAGAGCCAGAGTTGTGGAGAGTCAGGTCCAAGCTAACCCTCCTAAATTTATTCATTTTGCAGTAAATGGAGTCTCGGTGCATTTTGAGTCAAGCTCTGGCAGTTTCCCTGGTCTTATCCAGCTTGGGTAGGGCTTGTGCAGGTCAGGATGCTGACCTTCAGGAATCTAAAGACAAGAGGATGATGGTCAGTGGATTGGGTATCAGGCCCCCATTACAACCTCCAACAAGCCTAGAAGCAAGGATTTAGCAGTCTCATAACCTTCAGACTCATCCTCCGCTTCTTGGAAGTCTGACTCCGGCTCTGGCTCCGGTTCCAGATCTGGTTCTAGTTCAGGCTCTGGCTCCGGCCCCGGCTCTGGTTCTAGTTCAGGCTCTGGCTCTGGTTCTATTTGTTGTTCCAGGTCTGGCTCATCCCCTTCAGAGGCTTCAGCTTCTAGTTCTGGCTCCTCTGGAGTTCCAGATTGCACTGCCTCAGAGCCCTCAGGACCTCCGACCTCCTCTTGCTCTGAAGCTCTGGGCAGCCCAGGACATGTGGTCCCTGAACTGGGTGCCTCAGGCGTCCAGTGGCCTGGGCATGGAGTGTCATAGCTGCGGTCCCGGTAGCCTGGGGGAGAAAGTAGAATACTTGAGGCTCAGTTCACCCCTCTGTGGTTAGTTGCCTCCATATTCTCTGCCCTCCACTTACCCTTAGTTTTGCCTCACCCAAACCACGCCCCCATCTCAGCAAGGCTCCACCCTCCTGGTGCTCACCAGGCCCCACGTGCTGCCAATCCCAGGAAGGGTCTGGCACACGCACGGTATGCTGGGCACAGCGCAGTAGCTCCTGGCAGGCTGCCTCGCCCTTGCTCTGCACCAACAACAGCAGACGGCGCACCCTGCGCTCTGCATCAGGCAGTGCATCCAAGGCTTCATACTCAGGGCCAGTGAGCACGCCCCGGGCCACCAGCGCATCCAGCAGCAGCCCAGAGTCAGCCTGCAACGTATCTACCAGTCGCTTCCGTTCCCGGTCAATGGTCTCCGATGGCCGCTCCTGCACGTTGCCCATGTTTGGGCTATATCAAGGAGAAGGAGAGAAATGGGATGGGGCTCTGGCGTTCCCACACACTGACCTCTCCCAGGAGAGATCTAAAGTTCTTCTGGACTTGAGAGTCTAGATGTTTCTTTAGCGGAAGACCTGGAAGCCAGGGGCACAGAACTCATCCTCCAGCCTCTTGGTTGCTTTTGTTCTGACTCCTCAGGTTCCTCTTCTGGTCTCTACCTGTTAGCTGAGTGTTTGCCCTAGGTAGGACTTCCCTCCTAAGCCCCGGCCACCTGTCCAGCTGGCCACCAATTGTGACCCAGTTTATTCATCTGAGTTATTTTTTTCTAAAACCAATTCCTTACCTAAACTGGCAGAAAACTCTAGGATTGATTCCTACCTCCTTCCTGAACCCTGCAGCAAACCTTGGATCAAGGCAGCCTGCCTGATCTCTCCTACAATCTGGGATGTATCCAAAGCCTAAAGTGCTGAAGTATGCATGCTCTATTCACCTAACCCTGAGGTCTATGCATTCCAGAACTTTGCCCTTTCACTCATCACCGCACTGGAACTTCAACATGGTCTGTGATTTGTCCTGGTTCCTTACTATCTAAGCAGGAGAACTGAGTTCTCCTGAATTTTAACAGACCTCCTGGCATCAGTGTGACTCACTTGTTTCCCTGATGGCCCCGCAGTGACTCACATCCATCTATTACTTGCCCATGAAATACCCAAGGCCCAGCTCTTAAAAGCCATTAAGGAATTCTTACCAAACTTTTAGTTTCCTCTGTGTATTATTCATTTTGAGAGGCTGCCTCTACCAAACTAGGAACTGGGTGCAAATTAATCTACCCTGCTCACTAATTATCAGCTAAGGACTACTGCCCAATTGGGTTGTGTGGCTGGTCAGCATTAAGAAAGAAAAAAAAAAAAAAAATCTGACCTTTCCTTTTGCCTTAGCTTTGTCCATACTGCATCCTTCTAGGTCTCTTCCGTCAATGTCCCTTTCCTACCTTCCTAGGCTAATGGGTCACATTCCCCAACACACACACACACAAACACACACACACACACACACACACACACGCTTGCCTCCCAGGTCTCAGGACTGTCATACTGTACTATTCCTGGTCACTTCACACCTTGGGTCCCCCTCCTCCCCTCATATCTAAGTGACAGCCCTTCTCCAAGGTCACTAAGCACAGACCAGACATTTCCTCCCACTCTATCCCCCTTCATGTCCTTTCTGTGTCAGATGCCCTATAGTCACTCTGCATCAGCTCCTGCCCCTTAAGCCCACCATCAGCAGTTTGTTTCCCAGAACAATGAGGGCCTCTGAGTACCTCACTCACACCCACCCCTCTCCTCCCTCACTCCAACATAGTGACTTTGACAACACTGGGCTAGCATTTATTGTTCCAGTTTTATGGGTGAAGAGATAGGCTCAGAGAAACCCCGTGCAACTGGAATCCGCCTCACCCTAGCCTAAACTATAATGTCTCTTGCCTAGTTGAATGCCAGGCCTATCTTTCTGTCCTCTGTCCTCATTACCCATCAAAGAATCTAAGCTACCTGGTCTGACTATTTTGATTCCTTCCCACCACCCTGGTTAGCTAGGTTCTTTGCCATTTCTATCCACCATTCAGTCCTGCAAGAATAACTATGGTCCTGGCACCTTAGCCTTTACTGACGCTGTTCCCTAGGCTTGGGAGTCTCTTCTCTCCCCTCTACTCTATGGAGCTAGCTCTCAAGACTTAAATACTCCCAGATCTACCCCAATTCTTAAGAGTTCAAAGGTCCTCATTACTGTGTTTACTGGGATCACTAAGCCGTGTGCTCAGGACCTCTCCACACCTCAGTGAGGCTTCCAAACTCTCCCATCACTGCTTAACAGGTAAGGGGGTGAGGCCTTCACCTATTCTGGCCAGACTTTGAGGCTGGATCTTCTCTTTTCCCCTCTCTGTACCCTAAGTTATTACCTTTTGTCTGAGAAGCAGAGATTCTATCCCTAAGCAGAGATTCAGACCCTAACTGATTTTTTTTTTTCTGGACAGGGTTTCCCTGTTGTAGCCCTGGCTGTCCTGGAACTCAGACATCCCCTGCTTCTGCCTCCCGAATGCTGGGGATTAAAGCTGCCACCACCATCCTAGCTGATTTGGGGCCTCCCTTGGAGGTTATCACAGCTCTAGTGTGAACGCTGGTTATACCCTGGCCGGTGCATCAAAGGACAAGACTAAATGTTAGTCTGAGTCCCAGCCTAAATGTTATTTTGAGCCCCAGGTGACCTGGTCTGGTCTGGGACCCCCCAGCTTGCTGGCTGGCTGGGACTTGTTGGGGAACCAGGGTGGAACCTGCAAGAGCTGGTCGCGCATGCGCAACCTCAAGGTTATCCTCACTGGGTACCCTCACCAGCCCCCCACTCAATCCTAAAGCTTCAGCCCTGTGGAAGGGCGGGGCTCACAGACCTTCGAGCTCCGCGGCTGGTGGTGAGGCTCGGTATTCTGCCCAATCTGGTTCCTTTCCCTCCCTGCTGGGTGGAGTCCGGCTTGTGGTCCGGAGCGTTTCGGACTGCCCCACAACGGAGTTGAGCCTCACAGGGGCAGATGACTGTGCAGAAAGGGCCGAGCGAGCGGGGTGGGGATGCGAACGGCAGCTGCAAAGGGGGCGGGGCGGACAGGGCTGCCGGGAATGGAGGGGGAGGGGAGTGCTCCTTCTGTTCTTCGAACTCGGACGCCAGATGAGGAGGCCACGCTCTTGCAAGGGGGACACATAGTCCGTTTTCCTTCCCCGCCCCAGAACACCCGGATTTAAGTCAGGGGGTCAGTTCAGCTCACAGTACCACGTGTCCAGCCCACTCTGGGCCTTCTAATTGCTAGGTGCTTTTAATTTGCCATCCTACGACCCTCCCCCCCCCCCCCCCGGCCTGTCACAGATAAGTTTATAGAAGGGAACTGACTTGAACCGATTTGCCTAGAGTCTGAGATACGTATATAGAGAAGATGGATGTGGTGCGGAAATGTCTGCTTCCTGGAGGTTACAGTGGCTGGCATCTCAGTGCAAGTGGGAGGGAGTTAGGCACTGTCTCTCCAAGTACCAACATTCACCAGGTAGGGGATTCCAAGAAAGTCCGAGCGTCTGGACATTTCTAGGTCCAAACATCTGGACACTTGGACATTTATATGAACGCAAAGTCGTCGCCCACTCTAATGATCTTTGGTTGATAGGGAGGGAAAAAAAAAGAGAAAGAGACCAGAAACAGAGTGGGGGAATGCAGTTTATGTTGTAGAACTCACTGGGGTAGTGGAGAGAGGCTGCAGCATAATGGGGCTTTGCTTACCCCCACCCTGGGGAGGGGATGCCAAGAAGCCTGAAGGGGTATGCTGCTGCATGCTGGTTCCTTAGCCAGGTTTTTTAGAGAGGTGGGAGTCTCAAGGGGAAGAGGGGTTGGCTCCAGGGTCCAAGTAGGAGGCACTGCTTTCAGGGGCATTGTAAAGGGTTAAAGCCCCAGGCACTGATAGGGCTGCGCCTTCCAAATCCGAAGGAACATCCAGCAGCAGAGGGGTTCCCAGAGCGTGGTCTTTCCCTAGGAGGAGTAGGCTGAGCTTAGGAGAGTCCTCCTTCAGTTAGGATGTAACATTATCCACACACATATACCCTTTAAAGGAGGGATCTTGCTGCATAGCCCAGGATGGCTTTGAGCTTATGATTTTCCTGTCTCAAACTTCCAAGTCCTGGCATTACAAGCATACTCTACAATATCTAGTTTAAAACGCCATTCTTGACCTCACTCCTCTCACACAACGATGATAGTATGGGTGACTCTAGGAGGCTCTATAGGGCACCCTGAATTCAGGGTCATCCCTGCCCCCATCCAATCATGGTAGTTCAGATCCTGGTGGCTTCTGCCCAGGAGTCCCCAACACCATTACCTACACCTGAAGAATTCAACTCCTTGACTGTCAGCTCAGCTTCACCCCTCTCTTGAGCCAAGGGCTGCATCTGCATGAGAGAACCCCAGGAAGCAGTTGAGAAGGGAGCCCAGAAGTTGAGGAAGAGAGCTAAGGAATCACAGGGCAATCCTTCATCCATGAACCAAACCAACCTTCAGGCACTCCTTTCTTACCAGAGACAACTCCATGTCCAAATCCATCAGGGTCCATTCTCGTCCTTGCAGGCTAGGGCCCAGCACCTGGGAAGAGCTCTGGTAAGTGGTGCCTTTCAAGGCTGCACAGACAGCTCAACTTTGTGTATCTCATGTCCTGCCCCAGGCAAAGATACTCACATCCATAGGTGCTATGGGCTCCATACTTTGAGGGGGAGGCCGAAGCAGCATTGGGGGCAGCAGACTCTCTGGGCTCTGGTTACCCCGATCCAGGCCCAGAGTTCCCCTGTGCACAAAGAACTGATATTGGTCTATAATACCCACCTCATATTAATTCTTAAGGAACTTGCATCGTCAGGTTTAAATTGTTCCAACAGCTAGAACATGCTAAGAGACAATACTTTCCTTCAATCTCCTCCCCAATAAGGGGATTTCATTTTCTTTCTTTTCTTTTCATTTTGTGGGTGTGAGACGACTTGTTATGTAGCCCTGGATGACCTCAAACTTATAGTGATCGCTTATCTCAAAAAGTCCTGGGTGTTAAAGGGGTATTTGTGCTATCTTGTGTGTTTAGGCCACCCACAAACTTTACTAGCTAAGTATGACCTTGAACTCTTGGCCCTCATGCCACCTCCTCTGTAGTGCTGGCTTTACAACAGGGGTTTGTCACCATGCTAAGAGGTCACCTTGATTTGTCTTGGCTTCCTACCTAAGACCTGAGATCTTGAGAGATGTTCCCTTCCTATATAAGTGTAAATACTAGTAAAGGGTTTTTGTTTTGGTTTTTGAGAAAGGGTTTCTCTGTGTAACAGTCCTGGTTGTCCTGGAACTGGATTTGTAGACCAGGCTGGCTTTGAACTTAGAGATGTGACTGTCCCTGTCTCCTAAGTGCTGGGATTAAAGGCCTGTCCCACCCTCACCTGGCTAGTAAAAGTTTTTATTTGGTTTTTGTTGTATTTGCATATATGTTCCTATGAGTTCATTTAGGTCTTGGGCATGTTGGTTACAGAATCTACTAGCCACCCTCTTCCTTTTATTTCATTTATTTATTTATTTGGGTTTCTCCATGTAACAGATCTGGCTGTCCTGGAACTCACTCTGTAGACCAGGCTGACCTGAACTCACAGAGATCTATCTGCCTGCCTCTGCCTCCTGAGTGCTGAGATTAAAGGCATGCACCACCATTTCCCATCAGATTTATTTTATTTATTATTACTGTGTGTGTATTATGTGTCTTGGGGTGGGTCATGTGTAGAGATCAGAGAGGGCATTTTTGTGGAGTTGATTCTCTTTCCTCTTGACAATGGTTTTAGGGGTTAGACTCAGGTCAAGAGGCCTCACCTGCTGAACCATCCTGCCAGATCTTCCTTTTATATTTAGACAGAGTCTTACTAAGTTATCAGCACTAGTCTTGAGTTCACACTGTAACCCAAGCAGGCATTGAACTTGGGATACCCCTGCCTCAGTTTCCCAAGTAGTTGGGTTGACAACCCTATGCCACTAAGACCAGCTACTTTTGATTGCAAGCTACTGTATATTATATTCATCCAAGTGAAGTAATTTCAGCTGTAAATTCCAGAGTCCTACTACAGGGTGCTTAGTGACTTGATTGGGAGTTTCCATCTTCTAAATAATTTTGATACTCTTTGGAGCATACTCTGAAAAATCAGGTCAGGGTCATGGAGTCTGGTGCCCAATGTCCTCCCTTAGCCACCACAGGACAGATAAAGCAGTGACTTTTCTTTGGCCAGTACATGTGGATCTATCTATAAGTCATCAACATTGACTCTGCTCACCTGTCGGGTGCCTCCCTGGGACCCCTTGGTTCAGGCTGTTGTACATTCCTGGGCCCCTCAGGGCTGTAGCTCCCTTTCCCTTCCAGGATGGCCTGCACTACAGCCACAGGCAGAGGTGGGGGTGCTGTCACGCAGAAGTCACACTGGTTTGGGGCCGGGGCCAGCCCGGCCTCTCCATCCCCCCCAGGACTGGCCGGCTCTTCTTTGAGCAGTGCCAGGCCCTTCACCCTGCACCAGAGAAAAGCTTCAACCAGACCCTGACACTGACCTCTCCCTACCCCCACAGGCCTCTGGGCTGTGCGATCTTCCCCATAAGGTCCCCAGAAGACAGCCCCTGGCCTCCTCACCTCCTGCCAGCACTGGAGGGAGAAAGCCTGTGCACTTCAGGAGATGGTGCATCTTCTGGGATGTCAGAGATGACAGGCCCTCTGGCCCTGTGAGGGCTCAGGCCCAAGGTAGCCTCTGGGAGGGGCTGTAAGTAGAAGGCTTGGGCAGCCCTTGGCCTCTCTTTATAGGAAGAGCCCAACCAGTTGCACCAGGACTAAGGGTCAGGGTTTGAAAATGAATCTATGCCAGGGAGCCTAGGTCTGTTTGGTAGAATGTTGGCATCCATCTTTTGGGGGGGGGAATAGGAAGATGAAACATGCTCCTCACAATGCTATCTGTGCCCTAGGAAAAGGAGGAGAAGGAAACAACACCTACCGACTGGATAAAGTAGGGGTCCTGTAGGAGAGCACCGGACAGGGGGCAGGCATTGAATTTGGCAGGTACTGAGAACGAGTTCCCCTCATCTAGCATCAGGGACCTGTGCAGGGTGGGCAGGTTAGGCCTCCATGCCCCTCAGCCTGCACATCCCTCCCTTTCTCTCCCTCCCTCAGGCCCCAGCAGCCAAGTCAGCAGAGCTGAGGCCTGTTTCCAGGGCATCAGTCACATGCTGGAGTGGAAGGGGCTCCCTGAGAGATGGGGGCCCTTTGGGGATTGAGAGGGGAGGGAGAGAGCTTAGTTTGAGCCCTAAGCCAGGGGTGCCTACTTTGGGCATAGGAATTTGAGGGTAAGGTCCTGGAATGGAAGAGGGGAGGGGATGGGAAGTGGAGGTAAGGGATGGTGGAGTGAGGATAAGGAGGAGGAGGTTAGTCCTGGATGGAGGGAGGAATGAAGATTCCTGGTGGAATGTCCGGAGGGGGGGGGTCCCTGGCAAGGAAGGGAATCCTGGCAGTGGGGATGTGGCTGTGAACACCACAGGTTTTTGTACTCACAGCTTTCTCTTGGGTCCTGTACTGCTGGGCCCTGTCTGAAGTGGCCCAAACAGGCACTGGATTAGCTGAAAAGAAATCATACTTCAGGCGGGGCCCCTCATTTTAGAATGGCAATTTCTGGCGGGTCAGAGGGAAAGGGGTGGAGGCATGGGGTGCCCATGTGTGGGAAGGTTAGGAGGTAGGAGCAGAGGAACACCTTGCCGATGACCCGGTGCTGCTGACTGTGGCTTTGCCGCAGTGTCACCACCTCTCGCCACAAGATCTCGTTCTGCCTGCAGGAAGGGGTGGGAAGATACTGAGGCATCTGAGTTTGCTCAGGCACCATGCCACACAGAATGGAGAGGTCACTAGCAGAAGGGACGCGTGTCTTAAAAGACTAACGTTCCAGAGCTGAACCCATTGTCTGGATGGAGGCTCTAGCCTAAGAGTGGAAGCAACTGCCCAGAACCCCTAGGTGGCTAGTATCCTGTCACCCATAACTCAACCCTTCCTTCCCTGTCTCGCACTGCCTGAGTTCCTGCAGTCGTGCCTCCGTGCTCTCTTGCACTCCCCTCAAGGCTTGCACCTCTCCCAGCAGTCGGCCCAGGTCCTCAGGACGCCATCGATTGTCATCACCTCGCAGCGCAGGTACCTGTAAGCAGGAGGCACCATCCCAGACAGGGGTACATAAAACAGAGCCAGAAGTACCAACATCGGTGTTTTCCCATTTTTTGCAGTTTGTCCCACCTTGCGGCGCACGCGCTCTAGTAGCTGCTCACGGCCTCTCACGAAGCTTGGATGCTGGAATTCAACGTGGTCACGCTCTGGCCTGAGCAGGCCACCTTGCTCAATGCTCACCACCTTCCGAAAACCGTCTGGGGGAATGGTGCCCGGGGAGAGGGGCGGCGGGGGGGGGCGTGAGCGTGAATATGAGCCTCTCCATTCTCTGCACCAAGTAACCCCAGCCCGCTCCCCACCTGGCAGAGAGACTCACACATGTTGAGTTGGCGAACAAAGCTCGCCATGTTGCTGTGCTTGAAATACTGGGGCAGCACTTCCTTGGCGAAGCGGCTCTGATCACTTACGAGGAAGCTGGTTCCACTCTACCAAGAACGAAGGATGCCCAGCCGGTGGGGACCAGGCTAGGTGAGTGGCAGCCACTTACAGCTGGGCCACACTCACTCACTCTGGGGTCCAGGTTTGTACCTCACCATGAGGTGGGACTTGACCAGGTCAGAACAACATGAGGCCTATGCTGCTATAACCACAAGTAATTCCTACCCCTAGCCAGACCCAGACTCGAGTCTCAGAGAGAAATAGCACATACCAACCCAGCTCCACCTCAGACTGGTCTCAGACTCACTATGTAACTCTGAGCCAGAGGCAGAGCCAGCCCTTCCCTTTCCTTGGCCTGTTTTCTCATCAGTCGATGAAATAAAGTGAGAATTAGCTAGGTCCCTTGAGCTCTAGGGCCCTTACTCCTCCTCATCCTTATCTCACCTACCCCTTGCACCATGATCCACTCTGGACAGCTGAATCGAGGTACTCACAGCCCAGTCCCAGGCGGGGGCTGGGTAGACAAGGGTGTTCACACACATTGGAGGGACCCCGGGGACCACTGAGGGAATTGAGGGGCCCCAGCCCTCACCGGGCTCCAGCGGATGAGGTGGTCTGTGCCTGGGTCGCCCACCAGGGCCCATAGCTTGCCGAGGAAGGCAGGTACCGGGCTGGGGCCTGGCTCCGTGGGCAGCGCAGCTGGCGCTTCCTGCATGGCGCAGTCTCGGCCGGGCTCAGCGTTCCAGCCGGGCCGCTGCGGGCTTGTCAAAGCCGCGAAAGTGCTGCGTTTGCCGCCCGCCCCGCCCTACTCCGCCCCTGGGCGCCGGGTCAGGCGGGGGCCGCGTGCGAACCCAAGAGGCGGGGCTCGGACAGCGGCCCAGCCACCAGCAGAGAGAAAGGGCTGGCAGAAACGTGGGTGTGTAGGGTTGAGGAGGGGAACCCAGGTTCGAGTCTCATCCTTCTCAAGTCCCTGTCTTCCTGGGTTGATCGGGAGAAATCATCTGTGAGCTCGGAAAATCCTAGAAGTTCACCGGGACATAGTGAAGCCTAGGTAAGGGAGGGCAGATAGAAAGGGTGGTGGGTGAAGCTGGCCCTCCCCTGTCTATCAGAATGCTAGGGAACTGGTCATTCCTGGGGTATGTAGAGTGCACCGATCCGGATCCCATTCCCCACCCCCGCCCCGTCACAGTACAAAAGCCCCTGAGGTCTCCGTTCTTGCGTGTCTGGTCGGACTGCCCTTACAGTCTTTGTGCATTTCCTGCCTTCGCTTTCAGAGCTGACTCGAAATCATAGGGCACAGGAATACTAAAGGATTTATTTACTTCACACTCACCCTTGACTTTTGGCTTGCATTTGTGCCTGCCCTCCCCCAACTCTGGGCCTCGGAGCTAGCGGAGAGTGAGCAGAGGGGAGGGAAAGCCTGGAAAGGGCAGAGACATAGAGGCCCCGTGAATCTATGGAGCCTGGGACTGGTCTGGATGCCCTCTTAGGCCCCAGTCCCCGAGAAGCACTGTGGTCTTCGAACTCCCTAAGGACGTGGCTAGCCAGCCACTGGGGAGTGCCTTTGCAATTTGCTCGGGCCTTTCAGGGGTTTCGGGTCCGCGCGGTCCTGGAGTGGTGAGATTGCTCAATCACCGCACCAGCGTGGGCCGCCAGGGATGCGGCTCACGCTTTAGTTTGAGTGTGTAGCTGCGCAGGCGCGGGCAGTGCGCGCGGAAGGCGTCCAGTACCGAGGGTCTCACCACGCAGAAGCAGTGTATCTCCTTCAAGCCCGCGCAGCGCGCCGCCAGCTCCTCCAGAGCGGTGTGCAGCTCGGTGGAAGCGGACGCGCGCACCTCGAGGGCGCGCAAAGTTTCAGCGTAGTGGCGCGCAGCGAAGCGCACTGGCCCTACGGTATCACCCGAGAGGTTGAGACGCAGCACAGTTACGGGTACTGCTGGTTGCAGGACGCGCGTTACGGCTTCATTTGGAAGCGCAGGCTCCAGCTCCAGCTCCACCTCCAGTCCGGGGTGGCGGGATTTCAATGCCTCCCAGGCTTCATCAGGCAGGAGGGGCGCGCGAGCGTCTTCGGGGCACGCGCACCTCAGTGCCAGGAGTGCAAAAGGGGTGCGATGTGGTGCGGCCAGCAGTTCCAGCGCGGCACGCGACAGACTGGCCAGGTGCAGTCCAAGGGCACGCAGGTGTGGGCAGGCTTCCAAAAGCTTGAGCACAGAGTTGGGCTGTACACTGTCCACCAGGGCATGGTTGTCCAGGAAAAGACTGCGGAGCTCGGGACAGTCACGTGCAGCTTGAAGCACCAGCGTGTCGTCCAGTGTGTAGGGCAAGCGGCGCAGGTCGAGATGGTGCAGTTGGTGAGCGGCTCCGCAGACGGCGTGTACAGCGCTCAGAATGTCTAGGCCAGCATCGAAAAGCGGCTTCTCTCCGTGGCATTCCAAGCATAGGCCTCGAAGTCGTGGGGTTCGGCTGGCCAGAGCAGTCAGTAGTTCAGCGGCCACTCGGCGGCTGGGCTTCTTTGAAGGTTCATATTCCAGCCGTAGGTTGTGAATGTGATCCAGGCAGGTGGACAGATAGGGTGGCAACAAGTCTTCCAGCTCACAGTCACAACTTGTGGTTGAGCAACACAGAAAGGAATTAGTGGTGTCACCATGAAGTGGGGAATAAACTTTTTTTTTTTTTTAATTAGTATATTGACTTTGTGTGTGTGTCTGTGCGCCACAGGTGTGCCTGGTGTCTGAGGAGGCTAGAAGAGGGTGTCGGATCCTCTAGGACTGAAATTACAGTGTGGGAGCTGGGAGTCCAGGTCTTCTGGAAGAGCAGCTAGTGCTCTAAACTGAGAGCCCCTCACTTTGGGTTCCATCGGCCCTCCCTATTTTCTGTGCAGGGAACTTCCATCCTATTGTTTGTTTTTTCGAGACAGGATTTCTCCGTAGCTTTGGAGCCTGTCCTGGACCACACTCTGTAGACAAGGGGCTGGTTTAGAAGAGATACACCTGTCTCTGCCTCCCAAGCACTGGGATTAAAGTGTGTAACACCACCGCCCATGCCATCCTATTCTTTTAGAAGTCTTCAGAGGCTTCTGCCTCAGGTTGAAACCTCCCAATCCTCCCTCTCCCTGTCCTGTGGAAAGCCAATGATATTTAAGGAACTAGGCTTGCTTTGCAGTCTGTGGAGGGGGAACAGGGCCCCCAGAATGCTAGGTGTAAAGTCTGCCTCTGCCACTTAGTTGCTGGATGAAGCCTCCAGGCCCAAGTGATGAAGTCTCCAAGCCTCAGTTTCCTGTCTGTGCAAAGGAAATAATACTATGTATCTGTGATACTTTTGTATAGTTTTTTGTTTGTTTTTTGTTTTGGTTTTTCCAGACAGTGTTTCTTTGTGGCTTTGGAGGCTGTCCTGGAATTAGCTCTTGTAGACCAGGCTGGTCTTGAACTCACAGAGATTCTCCTGCCTCTTGTCTCCCAGGTGTTGGTATTAAAGGCATGTGCCACCACCACCCGTCGTGAAGCAAGCTTCTTATGAGGATTAAATGAGTTAATATATGTAAGGTATTTAGAGCACTCTTGGGGCTTGGGGGTCAGAGCTTAATGGTAGAATACTTGCACTAGCAGTGTGAGAACCTAGGTTCTATCCCTGTGCTGAAAACAAAACAAAACAAAAATACCCAATACTAATAGGTATATAATAGGTAGCCAATGAGTGAGTTTGTTTTCAGGTATGAAGGTGAGTGGTCAGCAGGAAGCAGCTCACCTGATGCTCGTGTCATGCCACACAGCACTGCTGGTGACAGCAGCGGCCCAGGCCTTGCAGACTCTGGCAGCTACAGCACGGTCCCTGAGAGGCAGATCACGGAAGATGAGGGCCAACACTTCCTCTGGCAGTTTTTCTATGGGTCCCACCATGATGTGGCTGGAGGGGGTGTATGTGTGCAGGATCTGCTGCTCCCAGCAGCTGTGCCTAGAGAGATAGAGGGAGCCCTGGGCTCAGAGAGGATGAATTATTTCAGAAATGCCAATGCTTGGGAGATGCCAGTAGCTGGAATATGCAGAAAAGGTAGAGACCCTAGCCTGTGAGATGGCGCAGCAGATAAACTCAGACGGCTCATCAGTTGCCCCCAACTCTGATGACCTGAGTTCTATCCCTGGGACCCAGTGGTAGAAAGAAAGAAGTGACATCTGAAAGTTGCCCTCTGACCTCCACTGGCATACATGCCCACCCTGGATGGAGCGCTTTCATACTCATATACACGTGATTCAATAAATAAGTGATAGATTTAAAGCAACAGCAAAAGGATGAGGCTGGAGAGATGGTTTAGCAGCTAAGAAAGCTGGCTGTTCTTGTAGAGGACCCAGGTTTCATTCCAGCATCCACATGGTGGTTCACAACCGTCCTTAATTCCAGTTCCAGGGATCTGATACCTCTACTGTCCTCTATGGGCACCAGGCACACACATAATGCACATACATACATACATACATGCATACACACACACATGCAGGCAGGCAAACAATAATACCCATAAAATATTTAAACCTAAAAATGATTTTTAAAGACTTATGTATAGTGTTTTATCTGCAAGCCAGAAGAGGGCACCAGATCTCATTATAGATGGCTGTGAGCCACCATGTGGTTACTGGGAATTGAAATCAGGACCTCTGGAAGAGCAACCCGTGTTCTCTCTTAACCTCTGAACCCCTAAAAATGATTATTTAAGACAGAGGATTGAAGAGATGGTTCATCAACTAAGAACATTTATTGCTCTCAAAGAAGCTGGGGATTTGGTTCCCAGCACCTACATGGCCAGTTATAACTGTCTGTAGCTACAGTTCTAGCAGCTTTAACACGCTTTTCTAGACTCCATGGCACTGTACACTCATGTCACACAGACATTCATGCAAATATACACACATTAAATTAGTTAATTAAAAAAATAAAATGCTGACTGGGCATAGTGGTACACACCTTTAATTGTAGTACTCATGAGGCAAAGGCAGGTGGACCTCTGAGTTTGAGGCCAGCCTGGTCCAGGACAGCCAGGGCTTTTACACAGAGAAATCCTGTCTCAAAAACAAAACAAACAAACAAACAAAACCCCACAAGTTAAACAAACAAAACAAGAAAGAAAAGAAAATGCAGAAGTTTCTGTTCGGATCATTATTGATTTTCCCAAAAGGGTTACGGGTGTAGCCCAGTGGTTGTGTTCTTACATGTACCCCCTCACTTCTTTTCCCTCTCTCTCCTCTCCTCTCCTCTTTTCTGTTTTTCCTCTTTCTCATCTCTGATGTGAAGCCCTAGCTGCCTCAGTGGTTGGGCTTTTTTTTTTTTTTTTTAAGATTTATTTATTTATTATGAAGTGTTCTGCCTGCATGTTTTCCTGCACACCAGAAGAGGGCACCAGATCTAATTATAGATGGCTGTGAGCCACCATGTGGCTGCTGGAAATTGAATTCAGGACGTCTGGAAGAGCAGCCAGTGCTCTTAACCTCTGAGCTATTTCTCCACCCACCCCCACCTACGTAGTCTCACTATGTTGCCTTGGCTGGCCTGGAACTCACCATGTACACCAGGCTGGCCTTGAACTCACATAGATTCACCTGCCTCTGCTTTGGAGTGCTGTGACTAAAGACATGCACCTCCAAGCCAAGCCCAGCTCTGAACGGTTCTTTAAACTATTTTCTCATTTGTTGAACAAGCTTTACTTGACTCCATAGGTTTCAAGTTGAGTGCTCCGGTCTCAGTCCTTCCACTAGAAAGTGACTGCCAGGTTAATCGGGCGAGAATCTTGGTGAAGTGGGGTGGTTTTTTTGTTTTGTTTTGTCTGAAATCACAAGCCCATCAGGAAATGATGGAGCACTCAGCCTAGAACGGGAGGAGGCTCCTTCGACTGCCACCACCCCCAGGAACTGACTTGCTTCATGCTTTCTGTGACAAACTTGTGGGAAAAAAGCTTGCAGATCTGGAGCCGGACTGCTCTGGTACCTTGAGGGGCTGTTGCTCAAGGTAGGAGCCTGGTTCTCGCTAACTAATTAAGGTTTGGTTGGAACTCAGCAGACCCGCTCCAGAGCTCAGGTTTTAGGAGGGTGGGGTTGTTGGGAGCTGTGAGTTCTTTGAAGCCATCAGTTTTGTTTCAAGGTGCTGGAAGGTATTTGTAAAGGTTAACACCACTTGCCATTTAACTTTCCCGTGTCTCCCAAGGATATGGTCTCTCGTGGAATTTGCCCCAAGTATACTCTAGAGTTTCAAACACTCTGAGCCAGGCTTGTTCTTAAATCATGACACCCCATTTTAAGTGCTAGAGAGTAGCAGAGATTAGATCACCAAACCAGATTCCTAGGGGGCGCCAGAAAATTCTCATCTCCTGGAGACGCCCTCAGATTGAACCCCAGGCACTGACTTAAGTTTGGCAGCTCTCACTCTGGGGCATTTCGGCCTCAAAAAACCCCAAGCCGCTAGTCATGACCAGTGGGCAGTTCGTTCTGCCATCGGACTTTGGGTGTCGTTACCTTACCTGCTCAGCGGACTAGGTGGGCTTTGCCCGGAGGCCGGGGACTGGACACGGAGGACAGCAGGGCAGGAAGGAGAGGCCCTGAGCGGAGGAGAAGGCGGGACACGCGGGCTGACCCGGCGGCTCCGGTTGGGGCGCCGCCCCTGCGTCTCCGCGCACACCCGGAAGCCGCGCACAGCGGAGCCCGGCGAGTGTGTGGCGGCCAGGTCAGTGCGGAGGGTGGGTGGGCTCCTTTGCTGCAGCGGGAGCAGAGAGAGATCTGGCTCCCGAGGGTGGGCACCGCGCGGGGGTGACCCGCAGTTGCTGGCCAGCTAGTGGCGGCTGCCTGTTGAACTGCTTCGGTGGGAGGCACGAAGGACTTCGGATCTCCACTTTCGTTGGTTTTTTTGTCCCAACTAAGTGGGGGTCAAGGCCCTGCAAGCGAGAGGATCTCGCTGCAGGGCTGGCCCGGAACGGTTATCAGAGCCCCCTTTCTGCCTGAGCCCTAGTGTATGTGAACCCCCAGCTTGAAGGCGGGGTAGCGGGGAGTACGGGAACCTCCCTCTGCCAGGTCGCATACAGCTCAGCCAAGCAGGGGGCGTGTCCTTGATGGTCTGGGAATCTCAAACTTTCAGTCCTCAGAGTTGGAAATCATGCCTGTCCACCTAACCTAACCAGAAGTGGGGTTGCCTGGGACTGTTAACACGTTAATGAGGGGCATTTGTTCTTAAGTTAGTATTGGTGTCCCAGAACCCAGCCTAGAAGCCTCTCGGTGGGAGTGGACATTCGTGGAAGGACACGTGGGAAAGATTTTTTTTTTTTCCAGAAATAGGGTTTCTCTGTGTAGCCCTGGCTGTCCTGGAACTCGCTCTGTAGACCAGACTGGGCTGGAACTCAGAGATCCGCCTGTCCGAAGTGCTGGGACTTAAAGGCATGCGTTACCACTGCCTGGCCATCCTTCTTTACTTTTTAAGAAAGACATTTATGCACCGGGGTGTGGCTTGGTGGCTGAGAATTTGACCCATATGGAAGAGACTGCTGTCTTTGTAGTACAAGCTGGCTTCAACCTCCTGATCTTCCTGCCTCTGCCCGAGTGCTGGGACTACCGTTAGGGTGCCATCATAGCAAACTCTTTTCTTCTTCCTTTTTTTTTTTTTTTTTTGTCCTGGGTCTCGCACATGCTGGGCAAGCACTTTATTAGGGAACTATATCTCTAGACCTACTCATTTTTTTTTTTTTTTGAGCCAGGGCCTCACTTTGTAGACCAAGCTGACCTCAAACTCACAAGTCTGACTGCCTTTGTCTCCAGAATGCTGGGATTAAAGTCGTGTCTTCTTATGCCTCACCTCTTTTCTTTTTAAATACTAAAGAAACATGTCTAATATATACAAAATAGAAGATATTACTAAATACAAAGAAAATTAAAGTCACTCCCAGAGATAAACAATAATTTCTTGCTGTTATAGTAAATATACATGTACTAGCATGTTTTCTATATAGAGACCGATGGAAGAGGGTTTTCAAAAACTGTTGCCTATGCTAAGACTCAGATAGGGCCATCACCAATTTGTCATTTCTCTTGGTAAGGTCTGTATTGTATGATTCCCTGCCCAGGAGCTTTTTTTTTTTTTTTTTTTTTTTTTAAGTGTTGTTTTTCAAGACAGGGTTTCTCTGTGTAGCTTTGGAGCCTGTCCTGGAACTCACTCTGTAGACCAGGCTGGCCTCAAACTCACAGAGATCCGCCTGCCTCTGCCTCCTGAGTGCTGGGATTAAAGGCATGCGCCTCCAACGCCTGGTACCCAGGGGCTTTCTTAATCTTGACCCTCAGTAGAGGTTTATAAGCAGGATTTTGATAGTCGATGGATGGAAGAGATTATAGCATGGAAGGGCTCCATCTCTCTGTGGGCAATTAAGGAATCTGTTTAGGAACAGCTGAAGAAATGATTTAGCTTACATAATTGAGCAGGATAGGATGGTCTCAGAGATAGCTGGATCCATGGTTAAGAATGTATGTCCTGCCAAATGGTGGTGCATGCCTTTAATCCAATACTCAGGAGGCAGAGGCAGGTGTATCTCTGAATTCGAGGCCAGCCTGGTTTACAAAGTGAGTTCCAGGACAGTCAGAACTATTACATAGAGAAATCCTGTTTTTTAAAAAAAGCATATGTCTTGGGAGCTGGAGAGATGGCTCAGCATTTAAGAGCATTGGCTGTTGTTCCAGAGGACTTGGGTTTAATTCCCAGCACCCACATGGCAGCTTCCAACTGATTATAACTCCAAGGGACCTGACACCTGCACACGGACATACACGCTGGCAAAACACCAATGCACATGAAAATAAATCTGTTTAAAAAGTGTATGTCCTGAGAAGCAATACATAGCTCAAAGGTTAAGAGCATTTCCAGAGGAACCAAATTAGATTCCCAGCACCCACACAGTGGTTCACAACCATCTGTAGCTCCAGTTTCAGGAAGTCTCATATCCTTTTCTGGCCTCCATGAGCATCAATCAGGCATGCATGTAGTACACAGGCATACAAGCAGGCAAAACAAAAAAAAAAAAAAAAATAAGAGTGCATGTCCTCCTAGACATGGTAGCTCACGCCTTTAATTCTAGTACTTGGGAGGCAGAGGCAGGCAGATCTCTGTAAGATGGAGGTCAACCTAGTCTACATGGTGAGTTCCAGGCCAGGCAGGGGTATGTAGAGAGACCCTGTCTCAAAAAAATGTGTATGCTGTCATCTTTTTGCCTTATTTCCTTCCATGTAGGCTCTCTCTTTTCCTTGCATAGGTCCTTTCTTCCTTTTGGGGGGGGTTCTCAACAGGGTTTCTCTCTGTAATAGCCCTAGTTGTCCTGGAACTAGCTCTGTAGACCAGCTGGTCTCAAATTCACAGAAATCCGCCTGCCTCCTGAGTGCAAGGATATAGATGTGCTCCACCCCTGCCCAGTCCAGACAGGTTCTTTCCAAATAGAAATCAAAGAGACCTATTCCTTCTCTCCAATTTGACCCTAAGGCTAGGGAAATTAGTGCCACTTTCTTAGTGGTCTTCCCAGGGATGCAGAGTTGAGTTTATTTAGTCTAGTTTGAGCTCTATATCAAATCTTGACTGTTTTCTGATGAATGGTGAGTGGGATGTGTACATTGGTCAGCTTTACTTTTCACATCCAAACTTGGATCTAGGCAGTGAAAAATAAGTATAGTGGCAGATTTCCACCTGAAAGAGTTTTGGGGACTTAAGGTTAATCTGAGGGTAAGACATGAATCTGGCTGGTTTTGAAGCATGAACACCATCCAGAATGTCTTTGTCAGATTTGGTAAGAGAGACATACTGGCTGTTAGTGGGCCCACCTCTGTCATTCTATTACTATGACCCTAGACTTTTTGTCACAGGTGGTGGAGGGACAATCCCAGGTTCAAGTCTGGGTTGGACTAGGCAGGACTGTGAGCAGAGCCAAAAGCTGGGACCTCTGTGGAAGGACAGCTAGGCCATGTGAGACTGGAGAGGCGTTTCCAAGTCTGGAGATGATCTGTTTGCATCTCCAGGAGGCGAGATGGCAGCTGGACAAAACGGGCATGAAGAGTGGGTAGGCAGTGCGTACCTGTTTTTGGAGTCTTTGATGGACAAGGTGGTCCTGTCTGAAGCCTACACAGATCCCCAGAAGAAGGTGGCCATATACAAGGCTCTGCAGACTGCACTGTCAGGTGTGTGGCTGGCCAAGTGTAGATGTCACTCTGGGACTTTGTGAATGGGACTGGGTTTGACGCCCCACTTCTTTCCCTTTAGGAAAAAGATAATTTTGGTGTGGGGTTGGGAGTATGAGGAGAGAGAAAGGACCTCTGGCTGTTTGGGGTCTGCAACCTTTGGTTATTGCATGTGCCCTTGAGTGTAGACATTTGTGCACTTGTATGTGTCTATCTATATATAACTGTTTCTTTTCTAATGTCACCTTGATATACATTCATTCCCACTTCTGAACAACCAGTTCACCCTTTGCTACTAACTGCACTTTTCTGTTTTCTTTTCCTCTCTCATTGCAGTACTCCTTGCTCAAACCCTTCCCTCGTACCTACCCTTTCTGTTCCCCTTCTCCTTCTCAGGGCAGAAACCACAGGGAGCTGTAGTTGGTTGGGGGTCGGGAGAATGGTCTGACCCTGGGCTTACCCTCCTGCTCTGGCTGCTTGGAGAAAAGTCCTGTTTGGGACAGGGTGGTCTGACTGCTCGCCTCTGCAGAGAGTGCGGACAGCCCTGACGTACTGCAGATACTCAAGATCCACTGCAGCGACCCGCAGCTCATCGTGCAATTGCGGTTCTGCGGGCGCCTGCTGTGCGGCAGGTTCCTCCAGGCCTACCGCGAGGGGGCGCTGCGCACCGCGCTGCAGAGGTGCATGGCCTCGGCACTTGCCCAGGAAGCCATGCGTCTGCAACTGGAGTTGCGTGCTGGCGCAGAGCAGCTGGATACTTGGCTGACCGACGAGGAGCGCTGTTTGAATTACATCTTAGCCCAGAAGGTGCTGCCATCTGGAGTTAGGATGGGATGGGTGGGGATTTGCGGCCCAAAGCCGCACTTACTGTGCACCCCTTTGCGCAGCCCGACCGACTCCGGGACGAAGAACTCGCGGAGCTGGAGAATGAGCTCCGCAAGCTGACATGCGACAGCACTGGCCAGGGTGGAGCCATACAGGTTGATTCAGCCGCTTCGAAGTCCCTTGTTTCCTCTCCAGCCGAGGAGAAGCTACTGCCGACGGCCTGCCAGACTTTTCTGTTTCATGGTCAGCCCATAGGTGAGGTTCACCAGCTGAAGCGGGGTCACCAGGAGGTTGATCTAGGTTGGAGCATGGCTGGGCCTAGGAATCCGTAGGCAAGCACGGGAGGGTGCTGGCATCAGGGAACAGGTGCTCATCTACCTCTTCTCACTTTCTTCTCAGTGAACCGGCCATTGAACCTACAAGACCAGCAGATGTTCGCGCGCTCAGTGGGCCTCAAATGGCGCAGGGTGGGGCGCTCGCTGCAGCGTAGTTGTCGAGCACTGAGGGATCCCGCCCTCGACTCGTTAGCCTATGAATATGAGCGAGATGGGCTATACGAGCAGGCTTTCCAGCTGCTGCGCCGCTTCATGCAAGCAGAGGGCCGGCGTGCCACGCTGCAGCGCCTGGTGGAGGCGCT